CAGATGATTCCTACAATCAGTGGTGGTTCTTGCATACATGGCACTGGGAGCAAGTCCTTCTGTTGCCCCAATCCAACCCATCCCTCTTCCCACCTTAGCACACACACACACACACACAAAAAACCCACTAAAAACCAACTAAAACCTGCACAGAGCAATCTTTTTTTTAATGTAAAGTTTCAGATGGAACATTTATTTATTTATTTGATTGATTCATTGTTTCTGTGTCACCTTCCTAAAATAATAGCGTAAGTCTTTTTTTTTTGCCAAAATGACAACTTAGATTAAAAAACAAACAAACAAAAAATAATTATTTTGGCAACAATTGATCAGCACCATTATTTGGTAAAGGTAGCGATTTGCAGCTTGGTTATATATTGGACAAAAAGTGAGAATCATTTGTTTCTGATGATCACAAAACTGTGAAGATTTTAAGAGTCTTCATTTGGTGTAAAATAATTAAGTCCAAACTTTGGACTCCAGAGTATTTGTTTGGGGAGGTGTGAATGTGAACTCTGATGCAGGTCAAAAAAAGACAACAAAACCTGGGTCATGGTTCTGTATAAGTGGACTCTGGTGCAGTTCTGATATACATCTCAGGAGAAAAAGATCCACTGCAATGAAGCCCTTTGAAAACCTCCTGGTTATTCCAGCAAATATTAATTTAATTAGTATTGTTGTTTTGAAATGAATATAAAATTGTTTTCTTTGCATTATTTGAGGTCTGAAAACACTGCATCTTTTTTATTTTTGACTATTTCTCATTTTCTGCAAATAAATAATACATTTTTGACATGTCAATAGTTCATAGAATAGAAGAACGATGTTCGTTTTATTCAAACAGATACCTATAAAGTGTAAAATCAGAGATTTAATAAAACATTTCCAGGAATTTCCCTTGAAAAATCAACAAATGATTCTTATTTCAACAAATCAACTTTGAAATGAAATTCATCTCACAGAGTGATATAGTATTTTTCCTGTTAATGTTAATGATGGGAACAGCTAAGGGAAACCCCAACATCCAGTTTCATACAAAGTAAAGTATTTTGATTGCAGAATTTGTATTCACAAACATTTCTTTAAAATTTATGTTTTTATCTTAGTTTATCTCATGGTATATGCGCTCAGAGTCTACATGGCCTAATATGGTGCAGGTTCTACTCACAACCTTATATACCCTCTATTACTGATCCAGTAAGAGATTATTGTACAGTTTAAGGGGAACTGATTGAATCTGTTATACTGCGCTGCAAGTCAATGGAGCTTAAATGAGCCTATATGAAAGAGGAGAGAAGGTCTGCTTCAGGGTTCATGCAATCCAACCACTGATTCAACACTTTGTTCATCGTTGCTGCTCCACATTTAAATAATCTCACACGCTTCAAGAGTGTGCTGTAGATTTGTGACTTTTTTTTTTCTTCCCTCACTCCAGCAATTTCCCCTCACCACTTTTCTGGTTAACTTATTTGCTTCGCAGGCCGTCTGACCAAGCAGCTCTCGAGTACACTCTGACAGTCGTACTGCTTGTGAGTGCCAGGGGAAAAAATAACCAGCTCTGATGAGTGCAACAGCCCCAAGCTATGACACAAAACTGAACAGTGAAAGCCACACATCCACTTTCTCGCTCACCATCCTTATCATGTCTGCATTCTCCTGCTCTATACCATCTGAAGCAATGTTTTCTACTCACGTCTTACACAAGAATTCATATATATATATAAACAGACTTCTCTACAGAAGATGCAGTCAATGCTCTACTAAAGTCCATTGCTTTTACTTCAGAATCCTTAGTCATATTATGATTTTGTGACGATGCTATTGGCTAAATAAGTTTTAGAATCAGATTCTATGTAGGAAACATTGTGCATAGATTGATGACATTAATTCCTTTCACAATGACCAGTGCAGGTGTTTTGTCCCTGACCACAATAATGATCACTTTTTGAAATTACTTCCTAGTTTACTGTGACTCTGCCTCACTTGCATACAATTAAAGCACAGCATAAATAGATTGTTTCTGTTTCTCTGGGTAATGAGTCCAAAATACAAAAAAAAAAAAAATAAATAAATAATAAGTATTTTCTCATCTTCAACTCTCTGGCGCCCCCACTGGTGAGGTTTCATCTCTCCAGTCCACTTCAGATGGAGCTTCAGTTAAAAAAGTCGGTCCAGAACAAACACGAGTGTGTGCCTTAAAGCTGCTAGTAAAACAGAAAGAGGCATTAATAAGTTGGCAGCAGAGTCGTTCAGGATGATGTGTGTTTTAACATTTCTGATCTTGTAAGATCCATTTTTCTAACAATACTATGATGTCAGAACCCACTGCTCCTTATGAAAAAATGCTGATTCAGGTGAAACAAAGTTCATTTCTGTGGCTGTCACTGTTCCTGCCTCCCAGCTCCGATCCCACAGCTCACATTCGGTCTTGTAAAATAGTAGGAACATGTATTTATAGTATGTATATAGTTGTCCATTTTTATAGAGGCATTTATATGTTTTGTATTATGAATTTCAGGCTAGCAGTCATCAGAATGGTCAAAAGGTGAAGGGCCCAGGGAGTCTTTAGAGTTACAGGATTATTAGAGGAACAAAGGCCTTATGGATTACTTGATTCACTCTTGATTCAGCCTAAGGCCAGAAGTCAAGGGCATTTTTTTCAGCACCGTAAGAGGTTCGGCTGTTTTGTTTTCTTGTCGCAATGTAAGGGCAATCCATACTCCAACCTGTAAAACATGTGGACTGCAGCTTGTGAGGGAGACAGGAAATATTTACTAAACACAGATATAATGTCCTAAAGAAAAGAAATACACAGGAACACTTTGTTAATCCTTTCATATCCTATGGTTGGAAAGTTGTCATTCAAGCCAACCTCAGGAGAACAGCAGACCAGAGACGGAGGGCGAGACAAACTGGAGACCAGGGACTGAAAGAAAAACCCTTTTAAAACTCTCACTGCTCTTATGGTGTGTTCTACATCTACGCTTACATTTCATTCAGTTTACCTTCTAAACTTTATTCCATTCTTAATGAAGTATTATATGGGGGTTCTGCTAGTTTAACATCTTGCCCTGACCTCCTGATTCCTAATCTCTGAACATTTGGTGGTTTCAATCAGTGTCTGTAAGTCTACTTGATGAATAATTATTTTGATTGTAGATGGAGAAAATGTGGTGACAAATCGGAACAGGGGAGACATTAATGGGCTTAGTTTCCAAGAATAATGAAACATTTTCTTAGGGCAGAGCAACAGCGCCCTCTGCTGGTCAATGCAGAGCAGCGTTTTAGTGGCTACTCTGAAGCCTGCCTGCAGACTACATATTCTGTGAAAACACAATAATTGCAATTTGATCAGTCCAGCAAAAGTTTGTTTGGGATTGAAACTTATTTTAAGTGTTAGAGATTCAGAAAATTTCATTCTCTGTCTACCCCAACAGAGTTTTCCATGAAGAGGAACTCCCCTGGGCTGTGCATGAGAACACTAAACTGATTCTCAATTCTCCTGAACATCCACTCAACAGTGTGTTTGATCTTCCAACTGGTGGCCACTTCAGGATGCCTAAGATCAGAACCCGGCGTGGTCAGGGGTCTTTCATTCCTGCAGCCATTGAGCTTTGTCTCCCTGGCTGAGACTGCAATACCCAGAGCACTGTCAAGGTTTCTGAAATACATAGTTTGTATTCTTATTATCTTGAGAGCTCAATGCACTTAATGTATTAGGGCATGAGTTATTTCTGCTAGTATATGTAGTTGTGTGGAACTGATAGAATAAAGATGATGTCTTTTTTCTGTGTTTTTTGTATTTCTGATACTTGCTGCAAACAAATTTCCACTTGGAATAAGAATAAAAACTGAACTGAACTGAATTTTAATTAAAGTTAGAGTTTTTAGCATTGGCTTCTGGTGGCTATCATGTTGGTATTGCATTAGAGGAATCAATGTTAGAGCTACATGTAACATAACCTTTTAGCTAGTGGAACCAGTGTTGGTAACCTAACCTCATACCTGCTCTTCCTCCTGAACCACAGCTCTCCCAAAGCTGTCACCACGGAAACATGTCAAGATCAACGTTCACTATGTAACTTACCAACTTTGGAAGGTGTAAAAAGCCCCTGGCTGGGATAATTATGCATACGGTTTCCAGCATTAAAAACATGTCAGTGACTTATTTTCTTGGGAAATGTCTGGATCCTCTACACAGACCTTTAGTTTGTGCTGGTTGGAACTGAATCCCAGAGCAGATCACCACTCCACCTGAAACCTGATGCTTGTGAGCTCATTTAGCACTGAGTGCTGCAATGCAGTGAGCTGAAAGTTCTTTTAGTGACACTAAAGGCCACCAGAAACTGTTCCACTAAACTAAAAGTGACATTTATGATTATCTGCTGTCTAGTATGGCAGCACCATTTACTTCTATATGTGCTACAATGGAATGTTTTTTAGGTGACGCCTCTCAGGGTTAGCATTTAATAAAATTACTGCCGGTTTGGTGTTTCAAATCAAGACAAACATTTAAAGCAAAAATGTGTAACACTGTCTAATTGTTTTTATTTAGAACAGCTTGTCCACCATTTTATAACTTAGCAACAATTGTTTTGACTTTTTGTGTCTTTTGTGAATAGAAATATTTCTAAGACACCACTGTCCCCCTCTTTCAGCCAGCTGACCTGTATTGTGCAGCTGCAGGTGGAGAAAGTTCTTTTGTTATCTCCGTAAAAGAAAAGACTCAACAATGGAATATTTTACAGAGGCTTGTCAAACTTTCTTTTTTCTCTATTTCTACAAAAGAAAGTTTCAAACATTTCTGCAACATTAAGTTCAATTGTAGTATTTTGCACAAAAACATAATTTAATATTTGAGTTCTTCACCAAAGCAAAAATCTATGTTATTTAAGACAATTTATATATTTTGTCATTCCTCAATCAGAGTCGATGCTTTTATTTTGAAAGGAACCAATCCTTACTGTCACCCGGTTTACTCTCCATGACAACCAGTTTGAGAACACAGATACTCAGTGTGCAGAGCCTGGTTTAGTTCCCCAGAAGATGGATTGATTCTACACAGGTATATAATTACATCTATATTAGAAGAATGTACACTCTGCTTATTTGTAATGCATGTTTATGTGTTTGTTGGTATTTGCAGTGAGTAAGGATGAAGCCAGCTCACAGAAAGAGTGATATGGAGCGTTTGGGTGTGTTTATGGAGATGAGCTACATCTCTGCAGGAGACAAGTATACGTCAGCAAACAGCCGTGAGCATGACAGAAACTTTACTAATCTGTTTTAAATGTAGACAGCTCCTTTAAATAACCCCACAGCTGACACCATGGAGGTAACAGACAGTTGCAGGAGCCTGCTGGATAAAGGAGGTCAATGAGAATTGCTTCATAACATCAGGCTGGCTTTTCACAGGAACATAAAACTCTAAGTAGAAAATATTAAGTAACAGTCAAATACATGGCCAATCCACAACTACAGAATCCAACAAAAATAATATAGTGTTCTTTTCTTAGTCTTGGATTGACAAGAACTGCAAAGTCATGTTTAGACATTCACTGAAGGTCACAATTTAACTATTTGCATCATCCAGAGGGTCTTGGTTCTCGGTTGCTGACAAATGTTTGCTTTCTGGAGATGTGGACTGGAATGAGGTTTTAAATTTTACCCAGTTGCTAACCTTGCCCATGATTTGTGTAATTCACTTGTTTGAAGCTATGAAGCTTACCGGAAATTGCCTGCACTGTAAACAGCTGTCTTCCACTGCGAAGAGAGAAGTGCCGATTTGAATTCAATATTTGGAAGTGTGACCAACTCAGACTGAATGGTTTCGTTCACTTCCACCGCTGCCACTACTAAAACTCAGTTCTTAAGTTGAGCTAAAAATCATTGTCATCGTTCAGAACTTCTCCTTGTGTTTGATAATTGGCCCATTTAAAAAAGATCAACCAGAGACAATCCAAGTCCCTGGGAGAAAGCCCAGGCTGGAAGAGAGAACGTGTCTCCATGTGTCACTGAACAATAGACTGACTCTTCATTTGCATTAAAGTGGTTGGTAGAGACCAAAGATCATAACCTAAAACAATAAACTCAGGGATTTAAGTAGGCGAAAATATACATTTCAATTATCTGCTAACAGTTCGAGTTAAGGTTTTGGGAGGTAAGTTAGAAGTTGCCTCTGACTGAACAGTTGTGTTGAATCCAGGAGGAATTCAACGCAACCCAAGCTACTTGGTGAAGGTCATTGGAATAAGAGGAAATGTGAGATTTTGATGCTGCTTCTTGGCTAGCAGCACTTTCAAATGAAATGAAAAATGTGATTTAAAGTGCATGTACGTGACGCTTCCATTTTTAATCCAGGTCCATTCAATGAGTCAGCATATCGAAACCGCCAGATGCAGGCGGGTGTCACTAAACAGCTGTGTGCTCTGCAAAGTGGCTTTTTCGACAAGTCCTTTAAAAGGATTTTTGAGAAAGAAGCACTGAGTGAACCTTTGAGACTGGCTCGGAGGAACCGGATGCAGCAGGTCAAGAGGAACCTGGGCAAAGCCTTCCTGCCCTGCAGCGGGACCAAGACGTCGTGAGGCAGCACACACAAAGACATATTCACTAAGAGCTTTAAATATGTCTGCTTAGTTGAACAATATTAATGATTTATTATTACAATAATATTTCCAAGTGATCTCAGATGGAATTTTAACAGATGTTTGTTACATGGTTTGTTTGTGCCTTCAGCTCTGGTTCTGGTAGTTACTATGGCACCTTTTCTGGACCAATAGAAGCTACAAGTCCTCTGTCAGTTCCCAAGAAAGTTCAGCGCTCACCTGGCCGCAACATTCTCACCTCACCACCCAAGAAAGGCAGTGGTTACAGGTTTATGGCAAGCAAAAGCAGTTCCCAAACTCTGAGACAACTTCCTTCTTCCCTCGAGGGTCAAGGGCACAGAAGCAGAGTGACTAGCTGCGTTGACAAAATGGCTACAAATTGGAATTTGAAAAATACACTGTTTTCCAAATTATTATGCAAATTGGATTCAAGTATCATAAAGATAAACATTTTTTGTTGTGCAATTAAATTTATAGATGGTATTGTGTGTCAGGGCTCTTTGAATCACTATAATTAATTTCAGAGCTGGTTGATTAGTTTGTCTGATGAGCTCAATTAAAGGAAATCTAATTAAGAAGGATGTTCCACATTATTAAGCAGGCCACAGGTTTCAAACAGTAAGGGAAGAGAAAGGATCTCTGCTGACCAAAATCATCAGATAGTGTAGTGCCTTATGGCAAGATATGAAAACATTAGATATTTCATTAAAACTGAAGCGTTATCATACTGTGAAGAGATTTGTGGCTGATTCAGAACAAGATGGGTTTGTACAGATAAAGGCATAATGAGGAAGGTTTCTGTTAGACAAATTCATGGGATTAAGAGAGCAGCTGCTAAAATATCCTTACAAATCAGCAAACAGTTATTTGAAGCTGCTGGTGCCTCTGGAGCCTCAAGGTGGAGGATCCTCCAGAGGCTTGTGCTCCATGAAGCTACTATTGGGTCCCTAACCAGCTCACTAGCAGAAACAGTAGCAGTGGACCCAGCCGGGTATGAAGATTCATTTTCAAACAGACTTGGTCACTGATGACTGCTGTACAATCCTTCAGTAGCAAAATCATCTTCATGCATGACAATGCACCATCTCATGCTGCAAGGAATACCACTGTGTCATTGGCTGCTATGGGCATAAAAGGGGAGAAACTCATGGTGTGGTCACCTCCTCCTCTGACCTCTGACCCTATTGAGAACCTTTGGAGTTTCCAAAGGAATTATGCTTCTAAAATAATGAGACAATCAACTGTGAGAGGAGGAAGGGGGACATGGATGGACCAGTAGATTGTTTTAATTTGCCTTAATTTACTCAGACTGTCATATTTGGTTATAGCTGGGGGTAATGAACTTATGAGAAAAAGTTTTTTTCTCATAAGTTTGGAGTTTCCAAAGGTTCTCAATAGGGTCGCAATGTTTAAAATGCAACTTCAACACTGACTTAAGGAAAATACTGCTGTTATTCATTTTATTTTGCTTTCTTCTACCATTTTCTTACCACTGAAAGAAATAAAACATTTATTCTTTCAGTGGTAAGACCTGAGGATGGGATGTATTTCATGTCAAAACAGCAGGTCTGGGAAGATATTCTAACATCCTGCAAAAATCAAGCAGAAATTTTCCACAAACTCACAAGTTCAATGGATGCAAGAATTGTGCAGGTGATATCAAAGAAGGTCCTATGTTACCATGTAACTCAGTCTGTTAAGATGTTTTGATTGAAAGAGCTTTTGATTTTAGTACAAGTGACCACTTAAAGCTGGACATTTAAAGAATGACCGTTTGCAGTTCTTTATAATCCATAAAATGTTTAAAAAATCTGCTGTGCATAATAATTTGGAACACAGTGTAAATTCGTCTTACGGAAACACAGCAATTTCTAAACAAAACAGGTTTTCTGATAAAAAGTTATTGGACTTAAGAGGATTTTTGGCTTCATAAAAATTAGTGTACTTTGCAAAACTGAAGTGGAAACACTTTTTTTTAGGCCACACATCATGTGATCAATGACCAGATGTTATTGCTGGCAGAAAAGATGCAGAAGACGACAGGAAGGATGATCACGTAGACATAATGAAGAATAGCGTAAAAATGATTTAGTAATATCTTTATATACATATTTTACAAACATGCATTAATACAAATATAAACATAAATGATTGATACCTAATATATACTTACAAAATCATGTTTACATATGGTGCTGCTTGTTTGTAATGACAAACTTAGTGACATATGATTTTAATTGCATTTCTCATTTAATACAAACACTACAATTATAAATTGTGCTTTTTTGACATGAACAGAAAAAAAGATTTTTTTCTCATTAATAACAAAAACCCAGCTATTGTTGGGATTATTGGTAATATGAATAAATATGATTTTATTTAGAGAGGTTTCTAGTAAGAAGCACAAAATCAGAAATGAAATAACTCCTGATAAGCTGTGCATTTGATCAGTGGTTCTCTGAAGGGTTTTAAAGTTTTCCTGTGTTCCTTATTTCCCCAGTTATCCTAATGTCACTCTGTCTAAAATGGACCTGTATGTTTCTGACCCATATGACAGAGCCAAAGAAGCCCTGAAGGTAATAAACACAGCTGATTATTTTTGTGTTTTCTTGATATTAAGACTTTCAGTTTACATTATGGGAATTAACATGTGAAACTTATATTCCTCTGATACAACAGTACAATTATAAAGAAGAATCATAGGTTAAATACAAAATAGTTATAGATATAAATAGAAATATTAGTAGCAGGTTTGTTGCATGAGAAATTTCTATAATTATATGCATGAATGCAGCTATGAACCAGGAATCAGAGTTCCTGCCCCAGATATGGTCCCTGTAGTTAAACTACAGCCAAATTGTTCCTTTAGTCACTGATGTGGTTAAGCCACAAAGAACAGCTGCCCAGATTACTTACAAAACGAATCAGATGATCATTGTGTTTATGGTTACGAAATGTAGAGGCAAAGCCTAAACTTAAGAACACTGAGATGGTGAGACAGTGTCACCCCCAAAGGAGGCCATGGGAAAAAATGCAATAATATATACTGTCATGTAATATATAGTAAATAATATATTGGTACCAACATCAGTATTGGCTGACATCGGTATTCAGAGAAGGCATGACCATGATGGCAGAAAGCAGTTCTTGCTTTAAGTCTAAAATCCAAATGAAGACATTCAGTTTACTATCATGTGACCAGCAGGAAATATTTGTATTTTTATTGGAACAGCATGCTGATGGTGGGATGTGACAGCAGCTTTGTAAATCCAAATGAAATACATCAAAGTTTGTGATTAGGACATGAATTAATATGCAAGAAGTTAGTACAGTTTCCTGCTGGTTCTTATTTTTCTTTGAATTTTACATATGTTCAAATCTATGTGTATCCAGAGGGAGGGAGCAATCCATCGCTCCAAACTAAGAGATGGGCCCTTCAGAATAAATCTTCACCCACAGGTTTATTTCCAAGGCAATCCGTATCACAGCGACAAGGCTCTCCCACCTGCTCAAAAGCCCCTCCAGCCCCAAAAGAACGTCTCCATGGTTCCCTTCAAACCCACCTCCCCCAGCAAACAGGTGAATCATTGCTTGGTTCAATGAAGAGAAACTGTGGATATTAGATATGATGTTTGTGGGCATAATACATTTGTATTATTATTATGTATTATTTTAGTATGTGTGTTCATATGTCTTAGATTGGAGGAATGAAAGCTGGAACATTTGATGTATATCCCTCACATTCTGCTGATCCATATGTCATCCGCCGCTCCAAACCAGCCAGTCAAGAGCCAGTGTTTCGTCCTGCTCCTGGTCCCAAGAGCATGCCAGTCAAAAGCATCATCTCCGTTAATGTTAACAGGTTTGCTCCATAAATATGCTTCAGTTCATATTTAGCTGACACCTTAGTGTACGTCTGCTGGAGCGATTACAACATTTAGACAGCCTCATGGAGGACTTCTGCATTAAATGTTCAGTTATTGAGAGAATAACTTTACAGTGCCTTTAAGTCATCGGACAATGTCATACAAATAAAAGAAACTGAAAGGTCAGCAATAAATTGATCAGTTCGTAATTGTAGCTTGTTTTTAACTTTTGGACTAAATTTGGAGTACCGGTGTAAAGAACAATATTCAATATGCCACAAGACCAAGTTGTTTTTAAATCCTGGGAGAAGTTATCCTGTTCCAGTAAACGTTATGATAAATACATACATAATTAGGGTTCCACGGCAGCAGACGTGCACAAAAGGGGCCATTCAAATTAAATTGCACGCTAAAAAATCTTCTCTCAACTATATCTCCACATCCACATGTACATTGAGGGCTTCCGTTCTTACAACTGACAGCTGTTATTGATCACCACCCTCTTTACTTATCAAAAGGTTTGCAATAAAATAACAAGTTTGGTTTACATCCTTGTAACAAACGGTTTGAGCAGCCGAACATGCAGCACCCTATGTCTATTTTTAAAAAAAAAATAACTTAAGAAAAGAAATTTTAGGCCGGCAGTCGTCTGTTTTTTGTCGGCTTTATTGGAGTTGACACATGAATAGATTGTTTTGTTGGAGTCTGCCATTTTCTGAAGAGAATGATGTCACATGCAAAGGGTCAATAAATTTGACTTTCAGGTCACAGAAGAAGCTTTTACAGGTAACTAATTCTCCAATCATTTAGGAGAGTGAATTTAATATTTATTACTGATACAGGTCTAATCAGGTCACATATCTTTATCTGTTCTGTGTTTCTTTCTATTGAAATTGTAACATTAGCTTCTTTTGAAAAGGTTTCAAGACTACCCTATCCTACCACCTTGAATCTTATGTAGCTGGTTAGCTAACCTCAATTATTATCCTAACAATATAAAAGAAGTACGTGAACTGTTGAATGACAACACTTTTATTGTGTGACCTCACTTTGTCTCCTTGTTTTCCATATTGTTTCAGAAGAATCAACTCTGCAAACTACCGGTACACCACCAACTCAGCCGTGATGAAAACCTGATCACACTGTTGGAGCTGTTGTTTTTTGTTCCAATGAATTGGCACTTTTACAAAGCTAAAATAACAAATTCTGAGTGATTTAGTTTTTCAAGTAATATGCATTTCAATTAATATTCTTGTTCTTTATTTTATTTTGAATTTTGGGTTTTTAGTAATAAAGAATAAAGACAATTTAAAAATATTTTATTGTTTTTCTGTTATTTGGACATTGGACATTGTCCTTTCTTCCTTTGATTTTTCATTTTGTGTGTGTGTGTGTGTGTGTGTCTGGGGGGGGGGGGGGGTTCAGTTTCTCTGAACACACATTCATGTGCTATGGAACATCACAGGGATAATATGTATTTTCCCAATTAGTTTTACCTGGGAACTCAAATATATTATACTAGTATTCATATATCATATAAAATATAAATTTAAAATTCATATTTTAAATTACATTTGAACCTGCACTGCCAACGTCAGGATACAAACTCCAGTAAGGAACGTGTGTGTCAAGGTTCATTGTAAAATATAGACGAGTAAAACATTTTTCGTAAAGACGATCTTTGAAAGAGCTTCCTTTTTCCCACAATCCCTAGCGGTGAGCAGTTTATAAGTATCCGCTCGGCATCCGGTCTGTCTCTCTGTGGGCTGCTACCATGCGGTGTGTTGTGGAATATGCTAGTTGTGGCGAAGTGTAAGTGGTTCTTATTGTTCTTCCATTGATGAAACGAGAGTGTTATGCGGATACAAAGATATAATACTTGAAAAGGCGTCCATCTTGTAGAAAAACGATTCTGTGGTATTTTAATGTTTTCCAACATATCCGTTTTCCCCTCAGCAGAAGAAGACGAAACCTGTCTTCTTCTGCTGATAGATGCTGAAAACAACGTCGGTTGTTTTCAGAAATGAATGAATGTAAACTGAACTATTTCTTTAATAGAGCTCTGGAAACATGAAGTTAGCTTCCAACTTTTTATTCCTTTTTGTGAAACGCCAACAATATTACCTTGAGCATTTTTAAACCACTGTAGTTTCAAACTGCTACACTTAAGTTTTTAAACCTTCAATAGAGCATTTGAAACACATACTGTGACTTGTTAAACTTTTATTTGTAAAAGTTTAATAAAGGGTAATTAAGTGCTTCCAGTTAATGCACTCGTTTGGTTGAAAAGAGTTAATCCTGAACTAAGCTCAGTATGAACTTCTGCCATGACTGAGGATTAGTCCTGGTTTTAATAGTTTGAAGTGTCATTTATAAGTTGGATCAGTTTCAATCTGTTTCCGCCAGGAATTAAAAAAAAAAGCATCAAATTGGGTTGAAAAGAATAGAATAGTTCAGTGTGTATTTAAAGTGACATATTCTCCTTTCTTCAAGTTTTAAACTTGAGCTAGTGAAGCTTCTGAAAAAGAGAATGTCTGATTTTTGCTCTTGACCATGAATGCAGCTAAAGTGACAGTCTTCCTTTCATATCAGAGGTGCTGAACCAACCTGATGGAGGAGCTGTAAGACAGCCCTCCCGACCCCCCCATCCATGTTTCCCCTCCGGGACTACAGGTATTGCATGCGCGCGTACACACCCACACACCCAGCTCTAAGTCAGCTGGCCAGGCCCTGACTGCCTGGTTCAGTGTTACAGGGCTGGCAGAGAAAGCCTCTGTTCTCCGCCTCAGCAGCACACCCTCTGTTCTGGAGGCTGATGCTGCTGAGCTGCAGCAGAGCGTGGCCCAAAGAGAGTGGCCGGTCCTGGTGGGACTGCAGGGCGGGCCTAGTGGAGGGCTTCACACTTCCTGATTGGTTGGGCAAACCACAGAGGAAGACTGAGCAGATTGTTGTCATCCATCATTATCAATGAGGGGTGATGATGGGTCTGGGTCACATGCTGAACCACTGCAGCGATCCACAAACACTGTCATTTATCTTTAATGCAAAATATATAGACTTAATGGCTTAGTTACTGCTCTGAATACGTTTCAGCAAATGGCCATTTTGAGTCTGGGTATTCTAGTTAATGATTAATCAATTGGTTATTAATTATTTCACAAATGGATTTCAGTCCTGGTCACATTGTACAGTCTGTCAGGTTTGTAAAGGGGAGGTAGTTGCTAGCCACCTGAGCTGGTTGAAAGTGAAATGATGAGTTGGGGACCTGCGGGGCCCCGAGGGGTAAAACTTCCTTCACTTGGAATTTCTTGTTTAGAACCTTAAATGTCTGAATGTGGCCAGTATGGTTCTGAAAAACTCCATACTAGAGTTAATCAAGCAGGAAGTCCCTGAAACATGTAGAAGGTGTTCTGCAGCACATGACTGAGTTAAATTTATGGTTGTAGAGAAGTTATTTTGAAAATGAATATCATTTTTCTGTTGCAGGCGGAAGATGTAGAGCGCCCTCTGCTGACGTTCCTGCTGCTGCTTTCCACAGACAGAAGGTGAGTGAACTCCTCCTGTGGTTCAGGTAGAGCTGGCTGTGCTGTGATGTCTCATACAACACATCATGCTGACCAAAGCCATGGTGAAGAGAAACCCTGAGCACAGCAGCCACAACACATCCTGGCTACAGCACAACGATTAAATCCTCTGCTTTCTGTTCTCTCAGCAGCACAGAGAGCAGCTGGCCAGCAGGGGGCTACAGCTGCAGCTCAGTGTGGCAGGTGGGTCAGGTGTGTGAGGAAGCAGGAATAGGTGTTGACCCAATCGGTACTGCCATGGCAGAGACTCCTCTCTGCTGTGGAATCATGGTATTGGGAGAGAAAATCAGGACTTGGCACAGGTTCAAGTAAAACCAGTTTACTAAAACCTGACTGAAGACCTGAAACAACAATTGTTCATTTTTAGAAATCCATTGAAATACTGACTGTCTGTTTTATGATCAGGTGAAAGGAGACTGACTGCAGGATGCATCCGGACCGTATTTACTCAACCTGAGCCACTGTGTCACTTTACTGCCATCAGGACAGTCACTATGACCTGATTATGAACCATCATTGAAGACTTTATGCTAGAAGCTGAAATGGATCAAGCCAATAAAAAAATATTTAACAGAATGTGTGTGTGCTTTATGGTGCTGCTGGTAAAGGTGTTTAGTTTGCTTACATTTCTTCAGCGGGGATCCAACGGCAGTTTGTTTTACTTGTTTGGATCCCCATTAGCTGTTGCCGGGGGTTACGTGAAGACGGAAATAGTTGGGACAATTCAAAGAGCCCCTGACTGACGGGCCATCCACAAAATAGTTTTGTTTTTGTTTTTCTTCATGGAAATGGAAAAGAACCTGGGTCCTTGTCAATTACAAAATTAATTATATCATGCTTTTAAAATTATCAATAAAAAATAAATGTTACAACTCTCAAGAGTCACTTTGTAGTCCAGTTTTCCTCCCAAGACAGAGGGGTTGACCTTGTGAGATTAAACTGTTCACATCCATTTTACTATTTAAAGAACGAAGGAAAAATATCTACCAACACATTCATATATTTAAGTTGTACCTTTTACCACACCTGGTCAGCAGCAGGTCTAATCTTCCTGTCCATCACTGTTTAGTGAAAAGCTAGTTAACATCATTCCAGGGAGTCTGGATTTTCCCTCTCACTGCTCTTTTCACAATAACACAACAAAACATTAGTGACAGAAATCCAAGCTATTTGTTAAATTATAATAAACTGACAATATTTATTATCAACATAATAAATATTGTCACGCCAGACAATATTACAGATATGTTGCCACGTCCCTCCTGACCCGTCCCCTCCTCAGTGAAATTAAAGCTGCAGTCTGTAACTTTTATTAAAAAGTACATATTTAAAATTGAATAGGTTGAGAGATTATCTGATAATTCCTCTGCCTTCTCCCAGTGCTCTCTGGAAACAACCAATCAGAGGCAGGAGTCAGGTTTCAGCTGTTATCACAATCTTTAGCATCGTTAGGAGGTCAGGGAGGAGCTGGAGGAGATTGATCTTTTCACAGATCATCTGTCTCATAACAAACTGTCATGACAAGAAAGCAAGGCAGTTGCTTGACTTTAAAACTGCCACTTTTTATGGGTCAAATAGATTGAAGATATTGTAACAGCAGTGGGGCCCAATTTAATTTTTTGTCATGGGGCCCAAGTTTCCTGGCGGCGCCTCTGCTTAATAGATCTCAATCTATCCATACACACACATAGAGATGTTTATCTTTTTCTTGGTGTATAAATATCTGGTTTCAATGGTGCCTTTTCTTTATTGTACATTTTAAAACAGAACACTTGTTTCTTTTAAACAAGTGTTCTGTTTTAAAATGTACAGTTCTTGTCACAAGGTGAAGACACCAGTAAATAGTCTTGAAGTTCTCTTGGTTCAACAAGCCACATTTGTTGAGATATGAATGCCAGCTAGGTGTAAATATTCTATTCCAATTCTGATTCTTGAATAGTTTTTTTAATTAGCATTAACAAGTAGAGCACTCTACTTCCTGAGTAGAGTATGTAACGGGTACCGGATTCTGGACCCGTCAGCAGCAGATGATAAAGCTGAAAAATAGCATATAATGAGAACACGGGAGACGCAGTCTGTGTTCCTCCAATTTCTCTCAACTTATCAGAAACCGCAGAGCAACAGGCAGCTCAGAGTCTCCATGCACCCCCTACTGGTGAAACACCATAAATACACCCATCGTCATTAACCTCTGTTACAAGAAACAAAATAGCTACATAACCCCATAAACATTTAAAGAAGTGAATGCTCCTTTCCTTTTTCTATTGTGGGCACACATATTTGTATGCTACTTTTAATAACTCCATGCTACTTGTGTCGAATTTTTGCCAGCGGACTTAATGTCATATTGCTGTTAACCAACATTGTTTTTATCTGGCTTGTATCAATGTGTGAGATTAACCTCGCAGCAATCCTAGATTAAAACACCAATCACAGAATAGTACAAAGAAATCTGAACCAAACCAAATAAACATTCAAGACTTGAACTTCTTTATAATCTCCACATCCAAGAACCAACATGTCAGGATTTCAAACCTCTGGACGAAAATAGAAATGCAGTGAAGTTTCTACTTAAATCTACCATGTGAGGAATCCCTGATCAGTCCTAAGAAATTAAAGCTGAACCAAACTCAAAGCATCCAGCTCTGTTTTCCACTTTGATACAAAGTAGGAAAATGTCATTATAGGCATCACAGCGGCGAGAATCTAAAAACCAATCCAAATTTTTTTTCTACGAATTCAATATTAGCATTTTGCTGCATGAAATAATTTGATTTATTATCTTAGACATGTTTATTTTAAATCGCATATATCGCCATCTAGAGGTCAGAGTGTGAAAGGCGTGAGTTGTTTGGGTGTCAAATAATTTCTGGCCATATTATAATCAAGAATTTTCTCAAAGTGCCATTGTTGTAGAATGTACTGCTAAAAGAACCAATGAACAACCTGCTAAAATGATCAATATCTGTCTCTGTATAAGTTGAATATTTCTAAGTAAAACTGAGCATCTTTTCACAGTGATAACTTGGCATGAAACAAAAAAAAAAAACCCTCTGTGATTTGATTAAAATAATGTTTAAGCACACAGGTGTAATCTCGCAGGTTCTGTTGATGTGGCCCCAGAATCCAAAGGGCCACATAAACACAGCAGAGCAGAACCAGCCAGGATGACAGAAGTTTGATTTCTCTGGAGCTGTTTAAAGTGAGAGGAGCAGCAGAGTCCTGCCCAGAAGTCCTGCTCTTCCTCCTCCTCTTCCTCCTCCTCTTCCTCCTCCTCCTCGGTCCCTCACAGACTCAGCTTCCGCTGCACTGATCCGAGCCGCCGCTGGTCGCTGCTCCTGTCAGTAATGCTGGCTCTGCAGATTCAGAGCCACACGGTTGTTTTGATCACGAGTTGCAGCGTCCTGCCAGCAGCGGCTGAGCTTCCCTCGGCGGGCAGCGGGACAACAACTGGATCCTGCAAAGGCATCAGGTAAGAAGTCTTCCCGTTTTTCCTCAGTGCTGCTATCAGATGTGGCCGCTTTTCTCTCTCTACCTCCTGGGGAAAAAATCCTCTCAGCGCTGATCCGTCTGCAGGTTTCCACAACTTGGAGGAGAAACTGTTAGTGCGTTTTCTCTTTGCTCATTTAAATCCCGCTTTAGAAATGACTTTGATTTGACTTGACAGAGTTTCAGACATTTTTAACTGAAAAGTCAAACTACTTTGGGATTTTGTTTTTTTCTTCAACAGCAGTTTCTGTTTCTGAACTTTACTGAAAGCTCTTCAGTGTCTGGCTGATGTGCCTGCTGCCCAGAGCGACAATAAAAAGCTTTGGGCTGACTGTGGGGAGAAGAACCAGACACAAATAACAGAAACATATTCTGCATATGACTTTCTGAACTTCAATTAGTTTTCAATTGCATATTTGTAAGTACAGTCTATGGGAGTAGGACACACCGGGCTTTGAATAGGCCCACCCCACTTCCTGCTGCTTAATGTGGGACTGAAGAAGATTCTGGCCTCACACTTGCTACACCTGAGAGAATGTTTGTCAGTGAATTCAGGCCTGAATTTTCTATTAAAGCTATTTTATTTCCCTGTAAAATGGTTTTAATAGAAAGAGGCTGACCCAGGGTCCTTCATGATCAATCATTCAATTAAAATCAATAATTTATTCACCACAAAGGGAGATTGCATGTTGTTGCAACTCATATAATTAAAATATCTCCAAATAGTGAAGTTTATTTATGTCATGTTGCAATCTGCAGGAAGTTGTGGACAGTGATGCTGTTTCTGGTTCTGTTCTGCGTCCATAAAGTCTCCTTTTCAAGTCTATTTGAGCTTTTGAGATGTGAACTAGCTGCTGTCAATTACAAAAGTCATACAGTGTAAAAATAAAAAAGTGAGAGGCAAACTCCTTTCAGGCGCAGAGCATCTAGAACCCATGGGAACAATAACGCTTCCACTGTGAAATACTCTGAAGGAAAGTATCTTAAAAGAACAAATCAGACCTAACGTGTCAGAGCTGCTCCAACTCGCTGCCATTTTCAGTTTTCCAGAATAAAGTCTATGAAGCACGCCGGTGGAAATGAAAACACTTTTCTGGAGCTGTACAGGCTCCTTCTGTTTCCTTCCAACATCAGAGTGAAATAGTGAAGTTGATTCATCTTATGTTGCAATCTGAAAGAAAGCAGAACTGAACTCTGATTGTCTAATGTGAAGAAATGTGAAGAAATGTTTCCATAAGGTGAAAAGGGCCAGAACACCAGTTTTAAACTCTTGCTTTTAGTCCACAGAGAAACTCTCTGGAAGCTGCACATTTCAACATCATCTGAAGAGTTTCTGAAATATTAAAATGAAAATGATTCTTTAGATTTTCTTTCTTTTTTTTGTCCCCCACAGCAGAGCTGAGGTGGGCCGTCGTCTTGTGTGTGGCTTTCTGCCATGTCTCGGTACCTGAGGCATTTCACGGCCGTGGGCGACGTGCAGCCTGGCCAGTGGGTGGAGGAGGAGCTGCATGTCGACAGCGAGGAGCTGAGCCCAGCGACCGGCCAGCACCCAGCAGCACCCACCTTCAGGGCTTCAC